GAGAGAGAGAGAGAGAGAGAGAGAGAGAGAGAGAGAGAGAGAGAGAGAGAGAGATGAGAGCTTCTGAATGGCTGAACCCATGAAAGCTAGAGTCTGCCCCCAGGAGAGTCTGGAAGCTCCGTGTCCCCTCCCCCAATCATCGCGCTGTTCATTACTTCATTTGTATCCTTTGTAATATGTTTTATAATAAGCCAGTGAATGTGACTAAGTATTTTCCCAAGCTCTGGGAACTCTGGGTCAGAAACACAGGTGAAACAAACTGGGGCTGGTGATTGGCATCTGGAGTGGGGGTGGAGTGACAAGTTTGGGGAACTGAGCCATCCACATGTGGGATCTAATGTTGTCTCCCAGTAGACGGTGTCAGAATTAAATTCCGCTATTGCAGCCTTGATTGCTAGCTGGATGTGCAAAACCCCACCACACTCAGTGTCAGATGCATGTTGTGAAAGATGAGACTGAGTTTGGTTCTTTTACTTATATTTTCAGAATTATGTTATCATAGTAGTTAATGATAGATCGCAGACAGACATGAGCAATGGGAACATCAGGTTAATGGATGATTTTATAGACTGGGCTGTCGGGAGCTGCCACACAGGGGTGAGCGCGGACCCTTACCTTTGAGCAATGGAGGTGTGAGACTGGTTTCCTGCATGCAGAAACAGGTGGAACTCACCTCACTCCGCAGGGGAATAAAACTCTGGGAGTGGGCGTCACACAATGAGACTTGGCTACACCCCCCCAAACCCAATCTCTTGCTTCATTTGGGTGGAACTTTCTCGAGTGTCTTTCCCCTCAATAAATAGGGCTTCAGGTGTGCTTGCTCTCTCTTTTGCCACCTTCCCTTGACTCCCTTGTGGGCGCTGGGGGAGAGGAGCCATGGCTAAACCCCAAGAAAAAGGTACTTTCTGTCCCTGAGTGATTATTTCGTGCCAGCCCAATTTACCTGGAGTGACCCTGACTAATTTAGTTACATGTCATGGCACTGGGCCTACTGTGCTGACCCACCTCCCCACACACACACACACATGCTTTTTTTGGTAAAAAGCACTTTACGGGACACCACTCTGGACCCTAGCTGACTTAAGTCAATAGGATATGCTGCCTTCCTCAGCAAACAACCTGCTATCTGCAGGAGAAATGCAGACCAAACACTCTTCCAAGACAGTTAGAAGAACAGAAAGTACTCTAAAGGGAGACTTTTGTGACCTTTACACAGACCAGATTCCAGGACTCAAGGAGATGGGATAATTA